CAGATATACGTGAAACTCTTGATCATTAAAAACATTTCCTACTTTTCACTGGGCATCGGTCAATCGGCGTATGTACGCATTCGGCATCTTAAGACAATGCTTACATTGTTCTCAACTACGCCGAATCTTGCCGATCGCAATAGCCAATCAACAGCGCTTCCAGAGGACTTCTAAACTAAATCCCAAAGAAGGGAGAGAAGACGAATAGTAGACGCCCCTCCCCCCTTCACTTTTCCGATTTTAGTATTTCAAGACTATACCCGAAGGAAGTGGAAATGAAGGCGTGCATGATTAATCATGCACAAGAAAGAAGAAGAGGTTCCTAGTGGAACCGGGTAAGTGAACTATTTAATAAGGACAAATGCAATGTACCGACACTTATTCTAACGAAATGTTACGACTATTCTCGAGAAGGAGGCACAGGGAAAAGTCGTTCAGCTGAGTCTTGTAAAAATAGCTTTCATTTCTGTGATTCATGACCACAGATACATTTAATATCGCTAAGCAAATAAAGTTCAAGGAATGAGATTCCCGTTATCTCAATAAGGAGAGACGAAGAAAGTTCAAGTGCAAGCAGTTCGTGCAAGGAAGCTTCGCATTCATGCCCGTGAGAAGAAACAACGAATATCACACTACAACTTCAAGTAAGTCTTACCTCTAGTGTTTAATTCTTCGTTTTACGGCCCATTCAGAAATGAACTAACAAACAGTTAGTGTCCAGAAGTTTCCCACGCATGCTCACTATGCAAGACAAGCAATTCGCGCCATTCAGTGGCGTGCATTTCCTCTAACCTCAATCTTGGGCTCGTGCTCACTCACGCGACTTATTATTAGAGGCAGCTGCAACACGTGCCAAGACTATGATGCAGACAAGAACAGTTGTGTTCATTCAAGCGCACAACAAACAGCCATAACCTCTCAAGTGATACTATTAAAAAAAGTGACCATAGTTTTATAGTTTATTTCTTTCCACAGTAAATCATTAGCTAACATGTTTCGTCCAGATAATTAAGAACATCACAACCTTCTGGTTCTCCAATAGAAGTATACCACAACGCCACATTATTATTGAGAAACATAAAGGTCATTTATAACCTCTTTACGATTAATTATCCCTAAATTGGAAGTAAATTGAAAAGTAAATGGAATAAACAGCAATAAGAATTATATGTTTTAATTATTGAATCAGTGTATTAACCCCCCCCCCCCCCACTT